GATCGTTACACTTTTAAGCTCCATCAAAATAATCCGCGCGTTAATTGCAGGAAAACGATAGAGGCGGCTTTTCGAATTCTATTATTGAAGATCGAAACTCAGCCTTGACTCGGCTAGTTCAAGCGAATCGGCTTACGGACTCTGCCTCTGGAACGATGAGCTCGCCCATAATTTAATTACGAATTTAATTACAAAGATCGTTAATTACCCGAACTTTAAGCCCAGCCGTGCCGATGATACATCGAGCTTAGTTTACGGGGAAGAATCAATCTGATTCACCGAGCTCTCGTCGTGCGTATTAAACCCTTTCAACCGAAGACAAAGTATCTTCAATCAGCGGAGACAAAATCTTCTTCACGCTTGGTGACAAAATTGCGATTCTTCGGGTCTCTTTAATTTTATTCCTTGATCAACGTAACATCGAGCAATTACAGAAACCGTAGAAGCGTGGAAAATGCTGACGAGCTAATTTCCGATGGAAAATTAAACGCATTACGGAGAAAACAGGCGAAATTATCGGATTAACTCCACATTTTTCGTCATTGCGCGAAAGCTTTATTTCATCCTGGAAAAAGAAAATTCCACGAGTTTTCTATTATTCTCCGTACTATCGCCATTAACCCGGGAAGATCCCCGTTCCCAATCGATCCCTTGTTGCGTCAGCGAGTAAGAAAATTGAAATTTTCCCCAGCGATTTATTCGGTAAACGGTGCAACAACACACCGCCTGCATAGATTCATAGCGAGTGTCGCATGGAGCCCGAGAATAGATTGAAGAAGAGACCCAAAGCAAGATCGCAAACACTTGGAACGCGAGACGCCAATTGGTGAACGGTATTCTCCGTGGGGGTGGCAGAGGAACGCAGAGGAGCAATCATACTAATATATGCTGATGGAAATTCCAGTTCCGCTGCTAAATTTATGTTTAACCGTAGAAATGCGCCAATGCGTAAAGGGAAGCGGCGCGCCTGTGCGCGGATAAGGATAATACCGCGAACGGAATAAAAATGGCTGGAAGAAAAAGGAGGGAAGTTTTTTCCAATAATCTTTCGAGCGCTGTCATTTTCATAGAAAATGAAATTTCACTAAGAGAGACGAAAATTCCAGAGAGCGATACCGGGGGGGCGAAACTCTCGTTCGTTGATAAAACACTTCCTCGTTTAATCGGATAGCGACGTGGAACAAAAAAAAACAACCCCCTCGAAACAGATCTATCGCAAAGTCCCCGGGAAAGTGGATTCCTAATCGATCTGTACATAAAATAGAAAACTAATCTCGAAGGGATTTTATTTAATCCGTCTTTCGATGTTGTAAACCTCCGCAATGCGCGGAGGATTACACGCTGGTAAAATCTTGATAAAATGCGCCAAGTTCCCGCGCGGTGGTGTTCGACGCGACCAAAATATAGCGAAACAATTGTCGCAGCTCTCGCCGAATCGAAACGAAATTCGAATTAATCGCAAACAAATATTTTTCTCCGTTCGCTTATCTCCGATAAAGAAGAAACAAAAACAACAGAAGAATACGCAACTTCCGTTTTTATTTTTTTCTCTTTTACACGTGCGAGAAGCATCGGAAAGACAAACTGCCGGGGAATCTTCTCGATAGTACGAAAAGACATACGCTGTAAAAAGTGTCTCGGTCCCGCGTCAGTTTCCCCCTGAACCATTACCTATTCCACAGGCGCAGGTTCCATCTTCAACCCTTTTCAACCACGGTTCAACCCTTTCCTTTTACCTCGGGGAGTGATAGCTTTCGAAACGTTACATTATACACCAGGAACTCCTTTCGCTGGTACATCAGTTCGTCTTTGTCTCTTTTGGCCGTCAGACGAAGTGAGAAGGAACGGAAGGGAGGATGAGGAAGACGAAGTAGAGAGAGAGAGGAGGAAGGGAAGGCGCAACGGGAGAGGACCAAGGCGAAAAGAAGATCCAGGATGAAAGGGTGAGAAGAAAGGAGCAAAAAAAGGTGCAACAAGAAAGAAAGGGGAAAAAGCATAAAAAAAAAAAAAAGGAAGAAGGAAAAACTCGAATACAGGAACAGGGTATATACTATATATGTGTATATAGTATAATCTATATGCGATGAGTTTACGAGCCTCCTCTATCCTCCTACGTCTATGTCCACGTTCCAAGGCTGTGTTTCGTCGTCTCCTTAAAAGTATACCGTAATCCAGCCACTCGTACTTGCTCCCCTCGTAAGTATCAGCGCCTTTCTCCCTTCCCCGGCTCGAATAAAGACGTGCTCAGGGTTTTCGAACAAGCTCTACTCTCGCTTCACATGGTTTTTCGGTACTCGAGTATATTCACGACTTTTCGCGTATCCGAGGGTACGTAAATTCACCGGAATTTCCCGAACGAACGTATAAAAAAAAGAAAGGCTCGGTGATTTCGATTAAAAGGATTCGTCGTTAGGCGAAGTGTGTTTCCTCTTAATAACCTGGACGAATCGTAAATTTGTTGTTGCCAGACTCCTATATAGAATCGAACGACTCTCGAGGATATATACATATATATACATGTATGTACAGGGTATCTCTTACGGGAACGTGTTGTACCGGCTCGTTTGTTCAACGCTTGAACGAAAGTTCCGGAAACGTCGTAAAAGATGAAAAGTGCACTTCGCGAGAGAGATGAATGAAGCGACACCGCTAAGCATAACCTGACGAAATTACACGGGAACTTCCGGCGTAAAGTGAATAAAGGAAGTAGTAATCCGTGTACGACAACGGAATGGCTTTGCCTCCACGGTGATAAAAGCGCGGAGGGAGACGTGGATCGTCGGTGAACCGTTGGTAACCTTCCGATCGTCGTGTCTACCTATGAAAATCGCCAGATTCTAACTTCCTTCTGTGTAAATCGATAAAAATGTAGATTTCGAAAAGAGAATCAATTCGAATATCGATATTTCACAATTGCCGTTAAATTACGACTAAAACTAGCAACAAGCTCGATAACCGTGAATCTAAAAACCTGCAGATTTTACCCACTTCCAAGCGTCGCGTTTTCGATAAGATCGCAGTTATATTCGATAATAAGCACACCTGGTCAAATTCAATTATACGATTCCCGAGGGCAAGTAAACCAATTTGCACGTCATCAAGTCACGCGGCGAAACTAGTTCGAAGAGCCGGGCATACAACCGACCACGTGTATCAAATATTGAAGTTCCTAGATTGCGCTGGACTGCCCTCGGGGACACCAAATAACTGGCAAGCCCTGAAAATGCGAGAAGCCTTGTCGAATTGCGGTTCTAGTTAACCCTGATCTACATAAACGGACCTAAGATTCGGCATGGGGGACCAAACGACGACGACTAGGACGACGAGTTTCGAACCGGCGACGAACTTCCAAAAGGAAATCCGGAACCGAGAGTAGCTCTTGCTAAACCGACGAGTTTTGTCGTTTACAATGCCGCTTAGATGCTTGTCTCTTTGCTCTATCTATCAGCTTCGTCCTTCTCTATCGCTTCGTGGAATACTAAGTAGGCTTTAGATAAACAGCTCCACGGGATTGATTGATGTTAACATTGCTACGGTGCCTCTCCTGTGCGAGAGATTGATCGAGAACTTCTTTCAAACTGATTCGATTATTTATTACACTCGATCTCACGGTGTGTATAAATTAACGTCTCTCAAAAAAAAAAGAAGATATTCTCGTGTTCACTGGAGAACATTTTTTTTTCTCTTTTTGAAAAATTGCGAGAATAAAAGTGCGCAAGTTTGAAGCTTGAAAGAATGCAAGGATATTCGAAGAAGAGTGTGAAAAAATAAATATGCCATACGCATTATCCACGGATTCGTGAGTCCGAGGATTTTCAGGTGGGCGATGAGCAGTGGGTGTATTAATATTTTCCCCCGACCAGCTTTCACACCTATTGTACCGGGGCAAATGCACGCGGACGCGTACAAGCCGGGACAATATGCATTCCAGTGTACACTTTGTTAACAATACACGAATATTTCACGTTCCCAGACGCTCTGCTATTTTAACCATACGCGAAAGTGGCCCCCGGTTGACAAGTAAATCTAAAACTGTTGTTTACACAAGTGCGTGTCGTATCTGTCTTGATTAACATATTAATTTGTCAAAACGTTCTTGATATCGTTATTTTCTTCCGATTGGTTCTGCAAACAAATCACGCAATCGAGTACGTTGTTTCGTTCCACGTTAAACATAATTAACAATAATTGAAGGAGCGCAGCCGTGTTAAGGATTAATTCGATTAATTACCTCAGGTCGGTGGTGTTACGGCAATTTCAATATTTGGACAAATCGATTTGCGCAGGAAAAAGAACATCAGAAATAACAAACAAAATTTGCTAAATTGTACGGTTGATTTTGCCGAATTTCCCACCGCTGAAACACACCGCCGTTTCGACGTTTTCCCGACGGTAACCATCCGCTCCGGTAACATTCCAGAAACGTGAGAGGAGAGGTAAGATTGTGTAAGAGAAGAGACAATAAGCGAGTGCCTAAATTCGGTGTAAAATCAACACACGTCTGTCAACGATCGTCAAAAATAACTGGAACCGTACGCGGTAACAGACGTTTAGTTCTATAAAAGGCTTCAACAGCGGGACGACTCTCTTTTAACAAGTGAAACACCGTCCGCCGTGAACAGCGAGAGAAGAGAGAGAAAAAAACACACGCTCTTTTAATGAAAATTAAAAAATTAAAAAATTGAAAACGTTTACAAAAAGCATTTCTCGTCGTTGATTGAATCTAAATAAACACCGGTACGTATTTTAATTATGCGAAATTGCTTCACACATAACCATAAATATTTCGTTTAATGTAATTGCACGTTGGACCGTACGCCTCGCCAGAGAGATTCAACCTCCATTTCTATTAACGATATGAAAAAGCACATTTTCATGCCAAAATCGATAACATCGAGACAGAGAGAGAGAGAGAGAGAGAATATACACTGTAATTAGTATGGTCGGTTGCAGCCAGTGTTTCCTGAATTGCGGCACTTTTTCGTCGCGAAGATAGCGGAGAGTAGACGAGCGATAAATCATTCTCGTGACAAACGTAACACTGTTCTGCTCGATAAACGGGACCGTTCACCCATGATAATTACTCCTTTACCGAAATTCTACTTTCCGACTAGATTCGCGGAAGTAAGAGAACCACGTACAGTGTATCGTCAAACACTCGAACGAATAACACGCGGCGACAAATGGTTCGAGGCGGGTCAGAATATACGAATTGAAATATTGCACACGGATGCAACCGGTTTTTCCTATCTCTCTGATAGCAAACGGTACGGCGACGAATCATGTGTCGCTGCTCAGATGTTGAGCGCCGAATATTTACGAAGGCAGTCGACACGAAAGGTATTGAGAAAACAAGCAAATATAACTTAATTACGGGAACAGATTTATCGCAGTGAAGAAACGGCGAGACCGTCAGAAGCATTCCCGGTTCGTTAAGCTCGCCGCCAGAGATGAGACTGAAAGTGATAGAGGACTTCCTACTTGTGTGGCCACAGTGGGCCGCCTGTTTAGCAGGTTAGTAAAAAAGCTTTCTCTGTGACAATTTTTCCACTTAGAAGCGAGACAGACGACGGCTTCTTTTTTTTTTTTTTTTTTAATGGATACTTCGCGTGAAACAATACGACATCAATTGAGGATTTCACCATAGTGTCCCTGTTATCTGTCAGTTTTGGACTGATGATTGGTTGGACGTCTCCTTATCTTGCCCAGTTGACCAGAGAGGATTCGGAATTATACATAACAGAGGATGAAGCGGCATGGGTGGTTTCTTTGTTGCCGTTCGGACGGTTGTTCGGTGCCGTCATTGGCTCGATCATCATGGAATATTATGGCAGCAAAAGAGCTCTGCTGGCGACCGGAGTGCCGGTGATGGTTGGCTGGATTTGCGTGATATTCGCTAATTCAGCCTATTGGCTTTACACGTCTCGAATTTGCTCAGGTAAACCCGGTTTCGTCGGTTTAACTTCGTTTCGTTTCTTCTTTTTTCTTATCTATAAAATATTCTCAATTCTGGTAATGTATTCTCCGCAGGCATAGCCCTGGGAATGTTTTTCAGTTGTTTCGCTATCTACATCGGCGAAATAGCGACGGCGAAAATACGCGGCGCTTTGGTCAGCATGATAATAAACGGGATGCCGGTCGGGACGTTGCTCGGGAATATAATGGGCAGTCAAACGTCGATGATGTGTTTCGGGATAATTAGCCTAACTCTGAACATTTGCTACGTGACGATCTTCCCGTTTCTACCTCAATCCCCTCATTATCACGTGCGGCTGAATAACGAGAACGAGGCGAAGAAATCGATCCAGTGGTACAACAGAAAGTCAGACGTGAAAGCGGAATTGGAGCTGATCGAGGACTTTGTTAAATCCACTGAATCGAGGAGCTTCCGCGACAAGATCAAGCAAATTCTCGAGAGGAAGAACAGACGTGTGTTTACCATGATCCTTCTACTGTTCGTCTTCATGCAACTCAGTGGACTAAATACAGTCACGTTCTACATGGAGATTATCGTTAGATCGGCCCAAGTGAAGACAATAGAACCGTCTACGGTGGTGATCATCTCCAGTGGATTTGGTATAAGAATTTTTGCACGATATTTAACCCCTTAACGCTCACATTCTTCTCAACTCAATTTGCCAAACATTATTCTTTCATTATTTCCTAGGAGTGTAGAAATAAGTTTCCCATTTGACTTAGATTTTTGCGATAGAAGAGTGAAAGAGAATAATTATGGAGCACGAGCGTTAAAGGGTGAAAGAATAGAATTTTTCACAGTTCCTCAAGAACCAATACTACTTCCAATATAAGATTCCTCACCAATCTCCCTAATCCCCAGAAGTATCTTGAAATTTCGATTCGAAACACTCTTTGAACACCCCAGTCTCCTCTCTTCTCTCTTGCGAAACGTCAAAAGACCAGAGGAAAAACTCCTCTTTCGTCTTCGGTTTGTTCCTGTCCCCCTTTCGTTTTTCCACCGTTTCCAAGGAATCGATAACAGCACAGAGCCGTTCGGTGTTGCAGGCATAGCTGTCGGCTGGATCAGCGTGTATCTGATCGATCTGTGCGGTCGAAAAGTTCTCATGGTGGTGTCGTGCAGCTGCGTAGTCATGTCGATGGTTATTCTTGGATTACACTTTATGCTCTTGGACCTGGATTTCGATCCGGAGAGTCTCGAATGGTTGCCGATTCTTGGAATGATACTTTTCATGCTGATGTCCATCGGTTTGGTACCGGTTCCAAGGATTCAGCGTGAGTGTCACGTCTGCGATATTCGCGTTCATCAGCAGCAGAACCTTCCAGCCGTTGATCAATCTCATGACAGAGAAGTACGTTTTCTGGATATACGGGATTATGATGATGGTCTGTCTCGTGTACGCGGCGGTAGCGATACCGGAAACTAAGGGAAAGACCTTGCAGGTAATTACGAGTCGTTTTAAACAGCATCGCTCACGTAACTAATCTTCGCGTTCAAGATCAAATTAGATCCTCCATTTCGTTTGCTATTTCACTGATTGTCTAGCATTTAGATTGTAGGTACGTTTGAAACGATTAAGAAAATGATGTATTAGAGAGAGAGATATCGCGGTGTGTTATTAATTGGATTTGAATAGGAAAGATAATAAGTTGGCTCGTGGAGGCACGGACGATGACAGAATGATGTAGTATTCTTGTTGCGCGAGCGATGGGCGAATCAGTCACTGTTCGATTTTCCACGTGACACAATGTTAGATAATCGATCTATTGTCAACAGGAAATACAAGAGATGCTGGCTAGAGAGAGTCGACAAGTGGAAAGAAGTTCCGAGTTAACGAGGATGGAACGATAGCGGATCGCTGTGAGAATAGAGTAGAATGTTAAAGAATCGACGATCTCGAGAATTATGAAAATGGAAGGCAACGTTATTATAAACGAACACGTTCATCGTATAACTGTATATAATAGGAAATGAACGAAATGGAAGTATGATTTCACGTATGACGGAAACGTAGGCGAGAGCGTGGTAATTTTGGGTACATAAGCAAGAAATGCTATGAAATTTGAACAAGTTACATATTTGCCAATTTTTCGATATTCGTTGATAGCTTGAAGTGTCTAGTTTGTATTGGTATGGCCGAGAAGACGTAAATTTACGTTGTAATAAAATTAGAAACGAAAAAAGGTCATTTGGTCAATGATTTTTCTTTATAAAAGAGGTAAGAAAACTGTTAGATTAATAAAAAATTGTATTACTTTTTATTTTAAAACGGTAGTTAGCAGTGGTTTCACTTCTTTTGCTAACTGGATCTCTTGGTTTTCTTCCAAGCAACATTAGAACGTAGAAATATTTTCATTTAGAGAACCATAACTTAAAATAATGTAAATATGATAAAAATGATAACTGCTGTAAATGTAATGTGAATGTAAACTACCTTTTTTAATTATTCGGAATGTTAAAAGCTGTCTGGAATTACCGCACACCTCATGTTCAGATATTTGAAGTAATACACCGAATTGAATTGACATATCACAAAAAGCAAATATGACTTTGAAAGTAGAAATATTCCTTTATTTAATAAAATTAATATTAATAACGTATGTCCATTCCAAGTACTAATTTACCTTGCTTGAAAATTGCCAACTGTTACAAGATTACGTTGCAATAGGAACATTCAGGTATTGTTTACAATAAAAGGCTGACATAGTCACGGAAATCATGAATATTAATGCATCATTACCAAGTGACAGTACCGTACGAAGTCAAATCACCCGTTTTTTATTAAAAAAAAATTAAAGTATCCGGAATTACTCCGCTTTCCCCTAATTCTTCGCAACTATCAAACGCTTTTGCTTAATTATACCTGCGAGTAAAGTATACAAAATCACACTTGCCTTATCTTATCGCAGAAAGCCGTGGAAAGACGTTAACTGGCAAATAAGCTGCGGGAGGCTTAAATTGCCAGTGTCGTTAAGAGTCACCGAAAGAAAAACTTGTGCAACTGAAAAATGTCCTAACTGTAATAACATTGAAAATATATATGTATATACGAAACATTGTCTGTATAAATAAATAATTACGTTACACGTTTAATCAGAAGTATATTCGAGAGATTCACTGAACGAAATTTCACATTGGTCGTTCAATTCTGCCGTGATATCGCTTGAATAATCGTCAATCAGACGAAAAAAGAACCGTATCCATTCAGCTATCGCTCATTTCGCGACACCCGTAAAAAAATACTGTTTTCATAATGGCAAACGGAGAATAAAAAAATGAAACGTTAGGATAACAGTTCTCATTAGTCAAATTAGCTGTAGAATTACAAGCATGTGAAACCAGATGATGTCATCGCTGATAAAACTGATGTAAATATGCTTTCGTTACACGCAATAAAATGTATTCTTTATCCTACCCCACCACTAGAAATTTCTTGTAAATCCGAAGCATAGATAGAACAGCGTCACCATTTCATCGCAATTAATCTCACTCCACAAACTCCTCCCGTTTGTTTCATCCAAGAGGGGAAAGGTAAAAATTGCACGGAAAATCTTCCTCCTGGAAATCCCTTTCGTTACCGAGAAATAGCACGCGGAAACGCATACACGCTTCATTATCTTATCTGCACGGAACGATTTAAAGTGTTTTCACTTCGTCATTCTCAAAGGCACCCAATTTTGATGCGAGCAATACGTCTGTCAGTCGCTTGATATCTACAGAGGACGCACCATGACCGGGGAAAGAGATGAAAAATTAAACAGGAGAGTGACCTGGCCTCAATGGATCGCCGCTTTCGGAGGTATATGTATATACAGAATATTCTCCACAAGTGTCAGACCGCAAGGCAGCTAAACCTGACACTCGTAGAGTCAGGGACTACGTTTTCGAGCCTCGCGCCCGCCTATGTAATTTGCGGAACAAGGACGAGGACAGCGAATAAAAGATAAGCATGAAACGTGAGTCGAGGCAACCAACGATTTAAATATCAACTTTTTTTATCACGAAATTTTTCTTAACATATTGATGAGATTTTGCTGATGAAAATGACATCAAACACGACATAATTTGAACAACACTTACTTATTAACACGTTCACTGTCACACCAGATTTACAGATTTACAGAATGAAAATGACATCAAACACGACATAATTTGAACAACACTTACTTATTAACACGTTCACTGTCATGCCAGATTTACAGATTTACAGATTGCTGTCAGGCAGCCACAAGAAAATACATTTTAAGTATTGGATTATAGTATTATGCTTTATAATTTTTTTTTTCAATTGAAAATAATGTCTAGCTAACTATGACGTTCAAAATTTTTAGTTGACAACATTTATTATATTTTAATTATTCTAAACATTTCAGGCACTCCAGTCACTGATGACCACCATAGCCATATCGAGGAAACAATCTAATGTTAATACTTATTGAGTGATTAATTTAATTTCATAATATATCGCTTTGGGTGAATTACAAAAACAAATTGCTAAGAAATTACATTATACACCTGTACACATTATCCGTCGAATGTAGAGGGAGAGCCACCGTTTGGTTGCCAATTGTTTATCACATAGAGTCGGCCTACCTCCACGTAAAAAAAAAAAAAATGTAGGGTCGATTCCACAAGTGTTAGTAAAATGTAGGGTCGATAGCAGCAGAAAAGCTAAACAATTAGAATTAAATGTAACGGTAGAAATTATTGCAATAATGCGTAATGCAATTTAAAAATTGAAAGAATCAAAAGAAAAAACGCGAATTCATTTCTTTCTCGATTCTAGAATATAAGAAAATTTGAATAAAATACGCGACGAGAATTGGGGAGAAGCATAAGTTAAACGCGTAAAAATATTCAATAATAAACGAACTAGGGATGAAGCTATTATTTCAATACGCGATGCACTGACTCTAGTATTTACTAAAATTCAAAAATTCTCGTATAAATTCCGAAAATAGATTATTAATTACGGTAAACTACTGAGACGGTTTAATTTAGGGTGGGCATAGTGCACTCGTTCCAAATCATCTCACAATATACAATAATAAATCAACTAACTACTTAACATGCAATTCATGCAAATTCCTTAGATGGTAAATTATTAGTAAACAAAATAGCAAGTCATAAAATAAATTCAATATCAGAGAAAATATATGAAAAATTTCAAATTAATTTCAATTGCTGGAAGAAAAGTAAATATTGATTGTTATGCTGTAACGATAAGCTATTCGACAAGTCTGAAGAACAACGATGACTAAAATTCAAATGTTTATTTCCCTAAACCTTCAAAATAATTTCGAAATATTTTATTCGAAGCGGAGTATTCCAAGTCAGTATCGATAATTGAAGAAATTATTTGATTGTATTTAAAAGAACCGAAAGGAGAATATTTAAAGTCTGATATTAAATGTCTAGCAAGTACCAGTAATTGGTAAAATGATTTATATTTGTTTTAAAAGGAAAATTTCTAATAGGTATTAGTTAAAATGAATTGTTATTCAGTCTATTGTATTGAAATTCTAATTGATTCTAATGTATACAAGTGTTACAAGAAGGCTGAGTGTGTACAGGGTGGACACTGACTCTAGTATTTACTAAAATTCAAAAATTCTCGCATAAATTCCGAAAATAGATTATTAATTACGGTAAACTACTGAGACGGTTTAATTAAGGGTGGGCATGGTGCTGCTTTAGTTTGAAATGATTTATAAACACATAATTAACAGAGGAAAAACCGTGAAACGGCAAAACGTCTACATTCTAATTGTTATAACATGTAAACAGAACTTTAAATTTAGTGTAAACAGAAAAAATATATAATACAATTTATTTCACGGTATTGCAACAAATAAACGTTGAATCAATATTTAATTCGTATAAAAACAATTATTTAACGTAATAATTTTACCTTCACTATGGCTATTTTTAATCTACGACCACAGGTCAACCTGATTTCTAATCCTTACGAACTTTAAATTCAGTCTAAACTGAGAAAATATATAATACAATTTATTTCACGGTATTGCAACAAACAAACGTTGAATAGATTCTTAATTCGTATAGAAACATTTATTTAAAATAATAATTTCACCTTCACTATGGCTATTTTAAATTTACGACCAAGGGTCAACCTGATTTTTAATCCTCATTTATTTCATGGTATTGTAACAAGCAAACGTTGAATACATTTTTCATTCGTGTAAGAAGAATTATTTAACACGATAAATTTAGCTGTACTATGGTTATTTTTAATCTACGACCACAGGTCAACCTGATTTTTAATCCCTACGAAATTAATTTAACCACGAGTAAGTAACGAGAACGCTAAAACCTATGTTTCCATTGAAGAATATTGTAAAAACGTATAAATTGTTATATGCAATGTTATAACAAATTGTCGGAAGTATAAATTTTTAATAAAATTGTGAAAATTGATAAATTATACCGTGTTACGATATCGGAAATCTCCCGCGAAAATCTCCCGCGAAAATTTCCCGCCTGACCTAACCGACGATTTTGCTAATGACTTTGGGGAGAGGGTACCGCAGGTATATAAGGACCCGCCGATGTCCCGCGAAATCATTTACCCTTTATACTGGGCCCTAGACACTTCGCGGCGTATTTTGACCTGAAGGTTCTGAGATGTGAATAGAGTGGTCGGGGGCTACTAGCTAGTCTATGTCCACCCTGTACACACTCAGCCTTCTTGTAACACTTGTATACATTAGAATCAATTAGAATTTCTATTACTAATTATTAAACAAATTTTAACAATTACCGGCACTCGCTAGGCACGTAATATCAGACTTTAAATACTCGACTTCGAACTTCGGTTTAGTCATAATTCTATTAATGTTATAATAACGTATAATTTATTAATTTTCACAATTTTATTATTAATTTATACTTCCAAAAATTTGTTAAAACATTACATATTATTATTTATACATTTTTGCAAGTTTCTTTGACAAATAAGTACGTTTCAACGATCTTATTACTTTCTCGTTGTGAAATCAAGTTCGGAGGATTAAAAATCAGGTTGACCCTTGGTCGTAAATTTAAAATAGCCATAGTGAAGGTGAAATTATTATTTTAAATAAATGTTTCTATACGAATTAAGAATCTATTCAACGTTTGTTTGTTGCAATACCGTGAAATAAATTGTATTATATATTTTCTCAGTTTAGACTGAATTTAAAGTTCGTAAGGATTAGAAATCAGGTTGACCTGTGGTCGTAGATTAAAAATAGCCATAGTGAAGGTAAAATTATTACGTTAAATAATTGTTTTTATACGAATTAAATATTGATTCAACGTTTATTTGTTGCAATACCGTGAAATAAATTGTATTATATATTTTTTCTGTTTACACTAAATTTAAAGTTCTGTTTACATGTTATAACAATTAGAATGTAGACGTTTTGCCGTTTCACGGTTTTTCCTCTGTTAATTATGTGTTTATAAATCATTTCAAACTAAAGCAGCACCATGCCCACCCTTAATTAAACCGTCTCAGTAGTTTACCGTAATTAATAATCTATTTTCGGAATTTATACGAGAATTTTTGAATTTTAGTAAATACTAGAGTCAGTGTCCACCCTGTACACACTCAGCCTTCTTGTAACACTTGTATACATTAGAATCAATTAGAATTTCAATACAATAGACTGAATAACAATTCATTTTAACTAATACCTATTAGAAATTTTCCTTTTAAAACAAATATAAATCATTTTACCAATTACTGGTACTTGCTAGACATTTAATATCAGACTTTAAATATTCTCCTTTCGGTTCTTTTAAATACAATCAAATAATTTCTTCAATTATCGATACTGACTTGGAATACTCCGCTTCGAATAAAATATTTCGAAATTATTTTGAAGGTTTAGGGAAATAAACATTTGAATTTTAGTCATCGTTGTTCTTCAGACTTGTCGAATAGGATATTGAAATTACTTTGAGAGGTTGCTTTTTCGTAATAGCAATTGAAATTAATTTAAAATTTTTCTTTCAGTATCCTTGTGGAACTTGTAGCGAATGGTGCTCCTAATTCTTAACACTTGCTGTAAAATTATTAGTTTTTGCATTTTAACAAAGTGAATTAATATTCCTAATTCTTATAAAATTATTAATAAACGTGAAATATTCTTGTAACGGTAATCTTATGAGAAATACTCGTATAATTAATTCTGAAATTTTTGCTTACATGTTATAACAATTGTAACGTTTACGTTTTGCTGTTTCGCAGTGTTTTCTCTGTGAATTCTATGTTTCGAATTTATTTCAAGCTAAAGTAACGTCTGTGTACTGCAGTTCAACCTAATTTACTTAAATTCGAATTACGATACAGTATATTTACAATTCTACCTGAATTTTCGAAATTATAAACATCACCAGTAAACTTCCATTGCATGTAAACAATATTCTCCACTAATCGGTAATTATAAAGTAATTATAAAGCAATTATAAAGTAATTACCGAAAAATATACACTTACATTCTCATGTTGGATCATTTACCTCTCTTCTTCTCGTCTGTTCACACATTCTCTCTAACTCTCCCAATTTCGTTATCCAATCGTTCCTATTTATTCTCATTTTCAAATTTCACACGTTATTCGAAATTCATTTTAACTAATACCTATTAGAAATTTTCCTTTTAAAACAAATATAAATCATTTTACCAATTACTGGTACTTGCTAGACATTTAATATCAGACTTTAAATATTCTCCTTTCGGTTCTTTTAAATACAATCAAATAATTTCTTCAATTATCGATACTGACTTGGAATACTCCGCTTCGAATAAAATATTTCGAAATTATTTTGAAGGTTTAGGGAAATAAACATTTGAATTTTAGTCATCGTTGTTCTTCAGACTTGTCGAATAGGATATTGAAATGACTTTGAGCAATTGAAATTAATTTGAAATTTTTCATATATTTTCTCTGATATTGAATTTATTTTATGACTTGCTATTTTGTTTTCTAATAATTTACCATCCAAGGAATTTGCATGAATTGCATGTTAAGTAGTTAGTTGAATTATTATTGTATATTGTGAGCTGATTTGGAACGAGTGCACTATGCCCACCCTAAATTAAACCGTCTCAGTAGTTTACCGTAATTAATAATCTATTTTCGGAATTTATGCCAGAATTTTTGAATTTTATTAAATACTAGAGTCAGTGCACCGCGTATTGAAATAACAGTTTCATCCGTAGTTCGTTTATTATTGAATACTTTTACGCGTTTAACTTATGCTTCTCCCCAATTCTCGTCGCGTATTTTATTCAAATTTTCTTATATTCTAGAATCGAAAAAAATACGAATTCGCGTTTTTTCTTTTGATTCTTTCAATTTTTCAATTGCATTACGCATTATTGCAATAATTTCTATCGTTACATTTAATTCTAATTGTTTAGCTTTTCTGCTGCTATCGACCCTACATTTTACTAACACTTGTGGAATCGACCCTACATTTTTTTTTTTCTTACGTAGAGGTAGGCCGACTCTATGTGATAAACAATTGGCAACCAAACGGTGGCTCGCTAAAGCGATATATTATGAAATTAAATTAATCACTCAATAAGTTTTAACGTTATATTGTTTCCTCAATATGGCCATGGTGGTCATCAGTGATGTTTAGAATAATTAAAATAAAATAAATGTTGTCAACTAAAAATTTTGGACGTCATAGCTAGCTAGACATTATTTTCAATTGAAAAAAAAAATTATAAAGCATAATACTATAATCCTATGCTTAAAATGTATTTTCTTGTGGCCGCCTGACAGCAACCTGCAAATCTGGCGCGACAGTGAACGTGTTAATAAGTAAATGTTGTTCAAATTATATCGTGTTTGATATCATTTTCATGAGAAAAATCTCACCAACATGTTAAAAAAAATTCCAGATGAAAAAAAGTAAAATTAAAGGTGTAGCGTTACACGCTTGACTGACTGCGAGCGAGATAACATGGGCGCAGCAATGACGCAGACCTAGGCGTAGGACCATCTATACTGTCACTTGTAGAATCCAAACTTACTGACTCTTGTCGAGAATTTACTGTACATGTACATAACGATCACCAATTCAAACGAACTTAAATCCATCTTTCTCCTCGTCGCTCTTGACATTCTTCAACATTCATAAGAATGACCGTGAACCAACGGAATATGAAATTTCATGGAACATTGATGAATTCCAATTTATTCCATAGTTCTTCTCCTGGTGACTCAAGTGGGAACAATGGGAGCCTGGTCATCTCCATACGTTTCTCAATTAACTTCGCCAGAATTTCCATTCCCGGTCACGATGTCGCAAATGTCTTGGGTAGTGTCGCTGCTCAACCTTGGAAGACTGTTCGGCGCGATCGGTGGTGCGTCCTGCATCAACTATCTAGGCAGCAAAACGACAATTCTGATCGCCTCGATGCCTATGGCGCTCTGCTGGTTCTTCATAATCGTAGCTAACAGCGTCGAATGGCTGTACGTTGCCAGATTCTGCGGTGGTATCGGCGTAGGAACGGCCTACAGCTGTTTCTCCTTCTATCTCGGTGAAATAGCCGAGACGAGTAATCGAGGAGCTCTCGTAGCGTTGGCTACCAGCGGAGTACCAATCGGAAATCTCGTCATGAGCATCATGGGAGCTTATCTACCTATGAAAACAACGGCCATGATTTCTTTAGCTCTCTGCGTGGTCTTGATAGTTCTCTTCGTCTATCTACCGGAGTCTCCGCATCATCTGATCAAAAAGAATCTAGACGAGAAAGCGAAGTCGTCGATTCGATGGTATCATCGCGACTGCGACGTAGAATTGGAATTCATCGCGCTGAGAAAGTTCATCGAGGACCTCGGTAAACAACGATTATCGAACCTTTTGAAGGATCTACGGACTGTTCATTTCCGCAAGTCGATGCTCATCGGCATTGTACTTACCACGTACAATCAGCTGTCGGGGATTAACCACATACTGTTCTACATGGAGTCTATTTTAACGTCAGCGAAGATCAGCGTGATAGAGCCAGCACAAGTGGTGATTATTGTGATGGCGTTCGGGATCGTTGGATCGGGAGTGTCCATGTTTCTGATGGACAGATGCGGAAGGAAAATGCTGATGGTCTTATCGTGCATAGGGGTGACATTGTCCTGGTGTCTACTGACAATCGAGTTCCATTTATTGAGCTTTGGTTACGATCCAAAGTCCGTGGAAACAGTGTCAATTGTCGCGATGTGCACCTTCTACACGACAGTTTTCATCGGTATTCTGCCCGTTCCGCTGGCGATGCTCAGTGAAATCTTCGCGCCGCATCTAAAATGCGTCGCGGCGTGTCTCACGAGTATCCTAGCTGGCGTTGTTTCCTTCCTCACAGCTTTCACGTATCTACCGTTGCTGAGTGCCCTCAGCGAACGATATCTGTTCCTGTTCTACGCCCTGTTACTGGCCACCGCTATACCTTTCACGATATTCTGCGTACCGGAGACGAAAGGACTCTCCCTGCAGGAGATCCAGAGTAAGTTGGTGGGGAAGAAATTTCAAGAATAGAACACGAAGTGCGGTAACGATAAGGAGAAGATTCCTTGCAAACAAATCAGAGGATTGCACGTGATCTCTGGTAAAAGTTGAGCTCTGTAGGAACATGTAAAAAATGTAAATACTCGTTTGTTAAATACGATCAAAGGTGTGAGATTCATTTTGTAAATTGAACGAAATATCGACTGTGATATTGATATCGATAGAATGAACGAAGAAAGAAAAAAGAAGAAGGAATTGTTACTTCGTAGTAGCTGTGTATATAAATACCTACAAAGACACCGAGAAAGCAGCTTTCTCGAGAAGATCGTACCTCGGTCCAAGAGATATTTCATTGGAACCGATCTCTCGAATAGCGCATCTCGAAGAATTTCCTAGTAAATTCAGAAACGAAGAACGAAGGCCCCCAACGGATAATAGAAGAAAAGGTCGCGATGCCTGTTGTTCTTTTGCCCCCGACGTCCTTCCCCTCTATTCTTTCCTTAACCGAGAAACGATGTAGCTATTTCTCTTTGGGGCGGACATACGCTGGCGTAACGTCCACGATGGAACTCGGCCAGTTTCATATTTTACAAGACGATATTTCAGTCTGGACTGAGCTACGCCAACAACGTTAAAGGTGCCACGGTCCCAGGGCGGCACTGTTGAAAATTGGATGCTGCCTTATCTCGCCCGGGTCATTGCACGATGACTCTCGTTGATGACCTTATAAACACCAGAGCCTCGATAAGGATTTACATCGCGGTTTCTTTTCTTTTCAGTCAAACTAACAAAGTATACGAATAACTATAATACATTTGACTACGACACACGCTTCTTCTATTCACGCCTCTCGACTTTTTCAGGCCCTTCGTGGACCTCTCGTCGCCGGAGTTTTCCCCCGATGGACCTGGCTATCGTCGCTCCTCGCCCGCTTTCTCTCTTACGCTCGCCACATTTTCTTAAAACTACGCTTGCTTAAAATTACGATACTACAATATATTATCCATACAGCAAACTATTGCAGACTAAACTAACAGTTGCGCTCGTTGGAATTATGAATTACTTCCAGCGCTAACCATAAAGAAAGGAAAAATTCCTCGCGAATGAATTTATCGAATAGGCAATACGATACCAGCTAAAATGTATAAAATTACGCCACGTTATATTTCCGTGACGGCGAACCGAACGTCAACCAGGCCGAATTGATTACTTAAACGTCAACGTTATTTGATAATAAATGTTTCACGTATCGCACACACATCCTCGCCTCCTACGCGGCCGGTTATCATTTTAAATTCATTACCGTGCAACCCAATTGCGTTCGACCGAGCTGCGTGAATCAATAACTCTTTGCTCCGTCCACCGCGGGATAATGGACCAAGCGGGCCGACTTTACCCTCTGACGTGCACCAATCTTGTTAAGTTATCGCGCCTATCGCGAACTCGGATTTACGATCGAGCCGATTTCCCCTGACTGATCCTTCCTGAAATGGAAGATCGTACGGAATTGTCGCTGTACCTTTCCGAAACCGACCAAGACGCATCCGAGCTTTTAATAGCCCCGCCACAGCTCGTCTACCTTATGAAATATTCATATCACTTTTTCTTGCCCTTACCGCCGCGCGTGGACTTCCTTCGCGACTTTTCCCTTCTCCTCCCTTTTTACACCGCCGCGGCGAAACGGTCGTTACAGTTTAGTGGACGTAAAAAAAGAAGGAAAACGCGCGGTAAAAGGAGCGATTACCGGCGAGGAATATTCAGGAGGACGGAGAAAGTAAAGACGTCAGCAGGTCGATTTTGATAACCTTTCGATTGTGTTTTTTGCATTAGCTCGTTTTGACGTATCTGAAGAATCGGATCGGGTAGAAATTCGCTGTAAATCGAGGATGAGTTTCGCGGGATTCGATGAAATTTCTGCCTCGATACGGTAGAATTTAACTGATCGAATTAACATGAGAATCGAGGGAAGAGTGTCTCTTTAAAAGGAACTCGCTGTTACACGCTGGATAAACACTTACTGGTGCGTATAATCTAAACAGAGAATCGATCCTATAGAAACGTAACAAAGCTTGATACGTTCCGAGGAAATACATTTCTTCGTTTCGAGAGGAGGAGAGAGGGAAAGAAAAGAGACATAAAGATGTTAAACCTTTCTAGCGAACAAACGAGATAGTTTATCGTCGCGCGGATATATACGCTTCCCTCCGACAAAGCCGCGGAAATTGTACGCTTGGAGGCACGCATTGTAACATCACTTGCTTTCTTCGAGTCGCAGAACTCCTCTTCGTGGCTTCTGTCGTAAACCTGACGCATCGTGGATCCACTTCTGACCTGTCAGAACGTATTAAAAAAAGAAGAGAGAGAGAGAGAGAAAGAGAATCGATCCTATAGAAACGTAACAAAGCTTGATACGTTCCGAGGAAATACATTTCTTCGTTTCGAGAGGAGGAGAGAGGGAAAGAAAAGAGACATAAAGATGTTAAACCTTTCTAGCGAACAAACGAGATAGTTTATCGTCGCGCGGATATATACGCTTCCCTCCGACAAAGCCGCGGAAATTGTACGCTTGGAGGCACGCATTGTAACATCACTTGCTTTCTTCGAGTCGCAGAACTCCTCTTCGTGGCTTCTGTCGTAAACCTGACGCATCGTGGATCCACTTCTGACCTGTCAGAACGTATTAAAAAAAGAAGAGAGAGAGAGAGAGAAAACTACCAGTGGCGTTTATTTCCGTCACGTTTTCAACCTGTCCGTGTAATTCACGTGATCGATGGTGGTAGGCGAGATCAAGGATAAGAACGTTTCCTCTCACCGTTATCGTGAAAATGTTTGACTCGAATCAGAGTTACGTGACATTATATTCGCGTAGCTGTTGGTGGTGGTGTTGCAGGGAAATTTTCGTACTGCGTTACGTGTCGAGCACGTAATCGCAGCTCGAACGCTAACTCAATCGTTCTACTACGTGCAGGTCGTCTCTGCGTTCGTTTCAGAACTCCTAATCGCTTTAAAGCTGTCTACAACTAAACCAAGTCAATTATCCTGTCAGCCCTCTGTTCTGGATCCTCTTACTTGATACCAATTATAGAGGTAAGTTTGATGATATCGAACGAATTAACCGTATCTAGAAGCGTGAAACAGCGGTACGTGATTTATTTCAGTGTTTTATGTTCCTTTTTTTTCGAGGGTGTGTTCATATCGAAGGTATTAGAATTTTTTTGTTCGTTCAACTTGTTCGTTAATATCCAAAAGCCACCGCGACCGTGTTCGGTGTCATTTTGTAAATGAACTTTCGGGACGCGCTCGCTTCGATTGCAGCCCACTCGTTCGGAATCGATGAAAAACCGTGCTCTCGGTCGTTGCGCCAAAAATGAAACAGCAGGACCATTCATTTCGCTCGTCTAGACCCGACGCGGCGGTTTAATTTACCTCGACAGGAGTCTTGGGGGCGAGATACAACACAATAACAAACGCGCGCGTGGGACTAACGACGGAAATTATTGTCGCTTCGCGGTAGTCGAACGCAAATAGATTCGCCCAGGTGACGCTGTTTAATCTTAATTGTGAAGGACATTAAGGAGCAGTGATTAAACTTCTGAGAAAAAATGAGGGAATACACAGGATAATCTGTGGAACTTGGAACCGCTGTACGAAACGAATAATATGAATTGCAATAGTTTTTTATATATTCTCTATGGAAATCTAAGGAAGAAAAGTTGGCTAAATTTAAATCAGTACTTGAGAGTCAAACAATTGTTTTTTAACTTTGTGTTGTCATATTCATTGCTAGGTAGATTACATAAAAATTTGGCCTGGTAAGTCTAGAGTGGATAATTATGGAGATCTCGTTAAATAATCTTGTACAATCCTCGGGACAGTCCAAAGAACGGTCTAGCTTTATAAAATGTCTCCATAGTCATCCTCATTCCAAGGTCACCAAACTTTTCTTCACTATTTGAGGTCCTTTAAATGTACAAAAAAAGTATGAATATTTAAAAAAAAAAATGTCGACGACCTCAGAACGACGGTAGAACGATCTCATCTTACTTTCAACAGCAGCGTAAATAATTCAGACGATCGTTATAAATGAATCAGCCTGTACACAACGAAGCTCGCCGAGAAACACGAGGAGCGAGGCGCAAAGAAAAATCATGCATACGAGCTGCAATAATGGAATGCCTCCAACTTTCAGTCAATAAAGAAGTTCCGAAAACAATTTTGCAATGCAATAACCCTTCGCGCCGCGGCAATCGACAAAGTTTCCCCGCGGAAGCCTCGCCTCGTCCGCATTCAACGATGCGCGCCTAGGCTAAGGAGGAGACCTTAAAATTCAACGAACCTCGAGTAGAATCGTCTTTCCACTTACAAACAGAGATTTCCCCAACCTACGTCTTTGTTCCACGGCGGTACCGTGCAAGCTTGATCGGTCGTAAAAATCAAAAAAGATCGGCGTGCACGATGCTTGCTCGCGCCGCTCCAACGAGATCCTCTCTCTAACTCTCTGTTCCAAGGTGCGCGCGTGAACGTTTTCTCATTTCCACGTGAGAATCGGCGCATTATCCAAGCGAAGGGAATACAAGGGGTACGGTCTTTCTCGTCCGTGGGAAATCGAATCTCAAATCGAAGTAATTTTTTACCACTGCATAGAGAAAACCTTCCCTCCTATAACCGCTCTCTTCTTTCTTCCCGTCGGGAAGACGGACATTATTTCAAGCAGATACGAACAGACAGAAAGAAGGAAGAAGTTCGTCTAATAAAATTTCACGATCAGTCGACCGCGCGATGAAAATACGTAGGTATCCGGCGAAAAAAGGAAAAGGAAGTTTCATAGAGAGAAAGAGAGAGAGAGAGTTGTACGAGAGTTCTTCCAGCAGCGGATGTTCATTGAAATATTTAAACAAAAGGAATCGGTTTGGACAGTTCTACGGTGCAAAAGTTCGATGCACCGTAGCATCATCGACCGGACTAAATGTAGGCTAGTAGTATGTCACGAAAACGCCGGAATTGGTTGGTCGCCAAGTCGCGGATAGTCAATGGAACGAAGAGATAGGAAGGGAGAGAGAAAGAGAGAGAGATGGATAGATAGAGGGGCAGGAACGAACCGCTAGGTCTGTAACCTAAATTCTAGCGCAGCACCGACTTTCAGCGATCCCTTTGAAGCGGCCTGTACTGCTTCCGCCGGATCAATGATACTCGTGGTTAACTGTACACAGTGTAGCATTGCGATAGACCAGTTCCCGATACGTGCAAACATATTCCCACGCGGTGTGTATGGAGACGTGTACACGACCATTTTTTTTTTCCACAGAACAATCGCCGACAGAGAAAAAAAGACAATCGTACACGAAGATCCTGTGTTCGAGCAACATACGTCGGACAAAAACCACGAATTAATCCAAATAGCATGATCGTGCAGAACCAGCTGCCAGTTTCTCGTCCAACGGTGGAATACCTACGACGAAAAATTCGAATACCTTTTGTTCCGATAAAGGATGTTGAGCGGGACAACGCCGTCAATCGTATCGCTGGCTGTCTCGTATGTGAGAGATTTATTCTTTCGAACCGCTGATTTACTTTGTGCCGATCGGTTAAACGCGGATTTTTCTTCCTCTCGCTCGATAGTCGAATTCTCCTTCCTTTGTATTACTTCTGTTTAGACAGCTGATTTAACCCATTCGCGATTTTAAGAATTCGGTATTTATCGTTTGTCGAATTTCGTCAATTGTCGAATTTTATAATTTGGGCCTTTAAATTTGGTAAAAAAAAAAATGCAAGCGCCTTCTCGTTACACAAATTTTTCCTATTTGTTTTTTTTTTCTTTGTAAGATTATTATGTTATTATAGAATTTTCTTGGATTTTCATTGAAATATTTTCTGTTTTCGCCACGAACTTATGGGACGACCTAATGATTCGTTCTCTGATTGCCATTGTTTCTTCTTTGACACTGAGGCTACGTACGAGGTTTTTCAAGGATAAGAATAAAGAGAAAGAGTAACAAACAGACGTAGATGTTCTCGCGGCAACCTTCGCTTGAATATTTATACGTACGAAATGAAGTTGCAGGAGGGAAGTAGAAACGAGGACCCGCTAGGGATTGCTTGCCAGTCCCACAGTACTCTTGCGTCTGTATGTCTTCCTTCAGGTACGCCGGCATCAGTTTCCACTCTTTATTTCTTCTCGCGTCTTTCTGACCTACTTCTCCACCGTTGTTTTCCTAAATTATATCCTTCGCATAAATTAAGAAGAATATT